AAATATACCTTTATGATTTAGTCTTGGAGAAATCTTTGAAGTACTTCATAAGATTTTCTGCAAGACTAATATATTCAATTGCTGTATTTAAGTTTGGAAACTAGACTCCATACATATCCTTTACCCAAAAAACTGCAGGTCAGTACTTTGGCTTATAAAAAATGAGCTAAAGAAGATAAATCAGCATAACATAAGAGAAGCATGCATTAAATGTGTCCTTTCTCCTTCTGAATGGTTTCCTAAGGAGACAAAAATATTCCTTAATCTGTAACTTTAAAAGGACAGAGGGTCCCTTTCTGACAACATTTCCTTTGAAGTCGAGTATATCACTAGTCTCACAGGCTTATTATTTGAGATGCTTCTCAGCAACTATGCTTACCTTTAAATTGCCTCACTTTGCAACACTTCAATAATCTCTTACATGTTAGGATATTGATCTAGACATGTGGCTGTAAGTGACCAGTTAAGGAGTGTGTGGCAAGGAAAAGACAGCCTGTGGTGTACACCACTGGCCATCTCAGCAATCAATTTAGAACACCACAATGTCATCAGCTGTTTGAAGATCTATCTTCGTCATGAAGAATCATAGCAGCAAGTCACATATTTCAGTTGTTGAACTTTGATTTGATTGTCTCCTGCTTAATGTGAGAGCTGCCAACCTTAATGGAGACATCTGATTGCGTTGAATTGTTATGGTAACCCAAATATCTTCAAAATTTATTGTTTGTTTTAAATATCTGAGCAAGGCAGATTTAGTTGAATTAATAGTTTCACGGCATGTTTTTAAGGATTTTAAAAACAATATGCCCTATTTCCCAACTGATTGGGAATACAGATACAAGTATAAATTGTGGCTGCATGCTATTATAGTATTTCCCACTCATATTATGATAATGCTACCAAATTTTGTACATAAGAGAGCCTTAGGAATAGAAATTAGAAGTTAAGGACTACATTGATGTTACCTTGAATAAAAAGCACAAAGTTCTTATATGATGTTTACTTGCTGGGGTTTAAAATTATCTCTGTGAGGAAAGTATAAGGTGTTAATAAAGACTGTACAGTTATTTGGAGTAACTTGGGGAAGTTTCACAGAAACTATTAATCCTCCCTTCTATCAAGCCTTGCTTTGGCATTGTAGGAGAGGAAAAATAATTTCCCTGCTACCCTTCTAAATTTTCACTGAAGTTCCTATGATAAAAGAAATATTAACAAGGAAAAAAAAAATAACAAGTTACTAATATGTATAAATCATGTACACATCACAGATCCCCAGAGGAAAAATCCCCACAGTAACGATAAAGTGGTTTAGAATTCAGGCTTAACTGTCATCTAAATAGAAAAGGGAGTCAGAATGCTAGCCTCTTCCAAGACAGGAAATGACTTTTTTGATGGGACCTTAAAATAGATGGGAGGTATGAAAGTTTGTGAAAATTTTTGTTTGGGTGTGGTATCAACTTCTAGTCTCCCCTCCTGTGATGAGTCAATCCTCCCTGATTAAATCTTTTCTGGAGGGGATTGATGACAACTGAGTTCCTTTCAGAAGAACTGCCTTTCCATAGTTAAGAGGAATTCAGAGTAAGTCTCTCTTTTGCTTGTTTTCGAAGTTCTGGCAGTTCAAAATAACCAAAATACCAAAGCAGAATATTTTGGGGGTGGCATTTTCCGAACTCCATAGTCATATTTTGGGCTGGCATATTCAGCCACCATTCAACATTAACTCCGAAAAATGACAAACCTGGCAATATAACAAAGAGAGCTTGACAACTTAAATACCATTTTTGGCCTGGTTTACAAGCATCCCTTCAGAGGCCTTCCTCAAGTTGAAAATAAATTTATATTTATCCAATATCCAATATGCCATCAACCTTGCCATCATCAAATAATGTAAATAATTCTCAATTATTCTCCCTTCAGTCAGCATCAGAAAATCATGACACTTGAGCTCTTATCTGAGGATATAATTGTTAATTTTCGGTAACATTACCTAAAGGCCTGGCAAGAGAAACGACATTAAAAGTGACCACCTAGCAATGCGCCATCCATCTCATTCTCAGGTTATATATCAAACTCAGTCCATCTTTGATCAAGTTATAGAACCAGAAAGCTAGATAAATGAACCATATTAACCTAGACTCAGGCAAAATCACTTTTCCTGAGTTATGTCTCAATATTCAGCCCTAAATTTACACCTTGAGTCCAAATGAGAAAGAAACGTTAAGCATGCTGTCATGGTTCCGTAAAATCAAGGTAAAATTACTGTCTTTTAGATTATTGAAGGCCTTTTATATTAAAATTTTTTGAATAGGAAATGTTTCCTTTATGATGTGACTGAGGTTGCTTGGGCATGGCAAGGACAGTTTAACCTAGAAACAGTATTCATTTAAGGTAGGATGGAGGGATTTTGATGGAAATAGAACCTGAAGTCCCACCCCCAACAAGAAATAATAAATGTGTTTTAGGGTTTAGTACCTAAGAACATCTCTGAGTCAAGAAAACAAGTCAACCATGTGCATCTACTCCAGCTACTATTTTTGCCTTTTGAAAATTCACTAAATTAATTGCAAAGGAATAAAATGAAATGGCTGAAGTCTCTTCAACTTCAGGATAAGTTGAAATCTCTTCAATTTCAGGATATGCCAACTCCATTTTTATTTTTTAAGGATAGTCTTCTTCATTTACTTAATTACCAGACACAACCTTATGACCATTTGGTGTCCACAATGATCACAAAAGGACAACAAAAACGATGGTATAAGGATAAGAAGCACCAACCTGGAAAAGCAAACTTGAAAAGAGATACAACTAAGGGACATATAGCTGAGAAAGACTTGGGGATAAAAGTAAGAACACTAATTAAAAGTCAAGCAGTCACCATTCCCTCTCACTACCTGGCTCCCTGATATCTATTGCTTAACAAAAAAATAAGAGACTTATTTTTCTAAAGGATCTTCCAGGCAACAGAAAACAATATCTCAAATTCTGAAAAATTTTAACAGTTGTAACAGTCAAGTAACTGCCCAATTATTATAAAATACACCTATCAAAATCCCAAGTTGTGCACTGAATTCCAATGTGCTTTGTATTGTTGCATTTTTAAACATGAATTAAAAACAAACAAAATGATATCCTTAAGGCAAACCTGCAACATGAAATAAAGAAACTAATGCTAAACAGAAAAATGTTATTGCAGAGGGACTGGACATAATTTGGGAAGCAAAAAAAGACATTAAATAATGAAATAAAATATTTAAATATCTATTATGGCATGAATAGACATAGAAATGTATGTAGATGACAGAAAGAGAGAGAGAGAAAAAGATAGCATGAACAGGAATATAATAATGTCTCTTAAAATTAAAAAGTGATAGCTTCTGAAAGTTAATAAAAATCACTGAGAGATTAAAAAACAATTTAAATATTAACAAAAAGCTAGAAAAAAATTAAACATAAGATTAGAGAAAATATAAAAGACATAGGGAGTACATCAGTGTTTCTACAAGATGCCCAACATCACACTAATTACAGTTCAGGTGATTAGACAAGAGTGGACTGAGATAAGAAAATCATCGAAGGAATACTGAGTGAGAATTTCTTGAAACAGTGCATTATATGTTCAACATAATGAATGGAAAAATATCCACTCTACACACTTTAATGTTAAATTTTAGAGTGCCAAAGATAAAGTGAAAATTAAAAAATCTTCCAGGGAGGCTCACCTATAATGATTTTTTACATAAAAATGAAGGGAAATGACCAGCATCAACACTCCTAGAAATGAGAATAATGTCTCCAAAATATAAGAAACAATTATTCTTAACCTAGAAGGAAGTCTCAGAATTATAGCTTTGAGACAAAAGGCAGTACAGCTTATTAAAGCAGTTTGAGAGTGGGCCTCCCCAGTGGCACAGCGGTTGAGCGCTGGGCTACGAAGCTGCCCATAGCCTCTGCAGCGCCGGTTCGATGCCCAGCCACCTGGGTCCCACATGGCGCGCAGACCTCTCCTGCCGCCCGCTGCTCCCCTCAGCAGTGCATTTCATTGGTCTGCCTGTTCTGTTCCCCGCTCTGGCTTTGGTGCATTCTCTCACCCTCCCGCGTATCTGACTGTACCCAGTGCTTGTATAAATAACTAAATAAATCTTAAAAAAAAAAAAAAACTTAAAAAAAAATAAAGCAGTTTGAGGGTAGTAGTGTCTGAATAATCTGGTCAAGAAAGAATATCTGATTAAACAAAATCCCCTCTTTTTTATTGAAGTAACATTGCATTATAAAAGTTTCAGGTATGCATCATTGAGAATCAGTATATGTATTACACTACATTAAGTTAACCACTAATGTACAATTTTATACTTTCTCATCACCATTGCCACAATTTATCCCCCCAGTTTTTTTAAGGATGAGGGATGCAAAAGAAAACAGTAAAAAAATGAAAGCAGGGCACATCAATGTACAAAAGCCTGATTAGCTTTTCATTTACTATTTTTATATATTCAGAATAAAATGAATATATATATATTAGCTATCAATTTTTAAAACTAATCTACAGACAAAATATAGGACATGCATATTATATATAAAGTTGGATATATTTTTATCAACTTTGATGATGTAAAAGTAAAAATAACAAAAACTGGAAAATGTGGGAGAGTAGAAGAAAAGGGCAAATATCTTTGCCTTTTTTTTTTTTTTTTTTTTTTGCGGGGTGGGAGGCTTTTTTTCACTGGGGGGCGGAGAGGGAAGGAGGAGTGGAGCCTGGACAGAGGGCATAGGCAGGGGCAGGGAGATTTGGTGTTGGACACAGACTGGGTAGGGGAAGGGCTGCCCCAGGCCTGTTGGGAAGGAAACACTGAGGTGGGCACCTACTGGGACCTGACCCAGCAAGTGGAGATGGATTGGGAATTGGGTCTGGAGGAATGAGGGCCCCCTCCCTCCCAGCTGGACATGGGGCCCAGGTTCTACCTCACTCTCCCTATAGAGCCTCAGCCCCTCCTGTTCAACCCCCAAACCTTGCTTCCCCTGCCCTAGAGGTGGGGGCTAGGTTCAGAGAGGGCAGTGGACAGGGAACCTGGGGGCATCGGGGAGCACGGGGTGGGGTCCATGGCACGCAGAGGGGATTGCGGCCACCTGGGCAGTCAGTTCCTGGCAGCGATGACCACAGAGAGCGCCACACCCCCCAGGGCAACGGCGGTTGCCCCAAACAGCCACTTCCATGGAATGGACCAGGCACCCTTGCCAGGACACTTGGCAGGCAGTCGACTGGGATTGCCCAGCATTTTCCGATATAGGGCGGTCTCTGTGCTCCGCTGGGCTGCATGCTTCTTCACCAGCTTTGAAAGCTCTGCATGGATCGTCTTGTTGGAAGGTTCCAGCTTTAGGGCTGCCCTCAGGATGGGAATGGCCTCGCTGTACTCGCCTTGCTGGGCCAGCACCTTGCCCTTGCGGAAGAGCGCCTTAATGTTGTCAGGCTGGTGTTCGAGCACCAGGCTGCAGGAGCGCAGTGCTGCGCGGTAGTGTTCTAGCTTCAGTTGCGAGGCTGCCAGGTTCTTCAGACACTTCACCTTCAGCTGCAGGAGTTGTTCCTCCTCCTCGAACGTCATGTCCACTTTGGCACTGGAAGTGATGGCCTTGATGGCGAGGTCATAAGAGTTGGCAGCCAGCACAAAGTCAGCCCGCTGATAGTGGGCATTGCCACACTCCCGCTTTCGGTTGGCCAGGGCCACTCTCTCCTGCCCCGTGAGCATCTCCAGGTCAGGCCCATCCACTGCAGTCTTCAGAGTCACCTCCAGGCATAGGGCTGCGTGCGGGGGGATATACGGGATCCTGCTGCCCTGGGGGACGTAACAGTACTTGGAGTCAGCAGTGACCATCGCTGTCTCCCCAACATCCATGAGTGGGACACTGAGATCCAAGGCCTGGATGACATCACAGTCCCCCAAGGTGAACACCAGCTCAGGATCCTCCTGCACCTGGGTGCCATTCTCAAGTGATGTCTGCAGCTGCACAGTGACTACCTGGCCCTTGGCTGGGCGGCTAGAGCCAGGTGGGCCTGGGACCAGCGTCTTCTTCCTCAACAGCCCATTGCCCAGGATGTCCAGCCACTCGTCCGGGGCTGGGGCGGGCTCAGGCTCAGGCTCCATGGCAGCCAGGAACTCTCGGGCTAAGGCCCCAAGCTGCTCAGCCTCCTCCAGTGGGGGCTGCCCCACATCCTCAAGTGGTGGCAGCTCGCTCAGATCCTCTTCTTCCTCTTCTTCCTCCTCTTCCTCCTCCTCCTCCTCACCCTCTGCATCTTCTACCCGACCCAGCACCTCGAAGTCCTCAAGCGGCGGGACCCCAGCTGGAGGTGGGGCAGCAGGCTCGGGGCCCATGGCAGAGGGCTCAGCACAGGATGCCATGCTGCTGGGGGGACGGGAATTGGCCCTGGGGTCCTGCGCCCCCCTCCCCGCCCCCCAATATCTTTGTCTTATAAATGAACTATACCTCTCACAGTTCGTGAACAGGAAAAATGATGCAAATATATGAATTAAAATTCAAAAAGTAACCAGTAGAAAATTATAGAAAAATAACAATGCAGTTTAACAGAAGGATGGAGAAAGTAAGAGAACAGATGGTTAAATCCATCCTATCATGGCTGTAAAGAAATAAAAGTCAAAACATAAATCATCAGGAAGTAAAAGCATAATCATATTAGTTAGAAATGCTAAGATGAAGACAGGGACAAATGACTGATAGAATGAAAAACGAGTATTTCTGAAGAGGGAGACTGGGGTAGATAAGTATTATTTTCAGTATGACTAATTCTGCACAAGTATTTGTAAATGGGTGCATGTATTTCTTTGATAATCAAACATGCACAACTGATTAAATACTTGTACCTGCCAGAATATAATAATAAAGGTACTAACCTTTAATATATTAACCTCAAACAGTATGGTTTCAATTTGTCTTTCATTTACCCATTTATTTCTGAAGGCCAGCTGAGGCTATGAGACCTACACAATGATTTTTAGATATCTTTTGTCAACTTGTAGGAAAATTTCCTAAAATTTCTAGGAAAGCACATTCAACCTCTTAGCTTCTGAAATCACTGATCAAAAATAAGTTTCAACAGTAAATATATCTCCCCTGGAGATTTTTACAAATCACTTCAGAGAATACAAAAATTAATTTGCCTACAATGAAAGAAGGAAAAATACTTTATTAAGTATATCCACAGAGTTACAGAATGAGGAGCAAGCAACTAGGTAGCTGGAGAACTTCTCAAACCTGTCTACACAATAGAATCTTCTGTATTTGAAAAAAATATATACCTCACTAAATCAACTCTCTGGGATCCATCAGGTACAAATATTTCAAAAATAACATTCAAGTGAATGAAAAGTCTCATCAATATTGAAGACCACTGACCTAAAAATAGGGACTATTTCTTAGGGTCCCATAGGTATACTTGGGATCCAAAGAAAAATCACTTGAGAAATGGAAAAAATTAAGAAAAGTATGAGAATTCTTTCAGGAATTGAAATGTAACAATCCTCATAGATACATCACTGGTTCAAAGGATCTACTAGTCAGATAGAAAGCAGGAGCAGGAAATGCTTGGGAGGCTCAGGAGTTGAGGTCAACATTTCTGGGAACTGAAAAGGGGGTTTCAGTTCCCAGAAACCTCCTGCCACAGATATCTGTGGCTATTGCTGAATAAATGTGTGATCATTTTTAACAAAATTTATTTTTGCTTCTAACAGTGAGTCATGCTTGCAAATAAAATAAACATTAATAAATTTATCTGTATAATATAAAGTGAATAAATCCTATGAGTAATGGTTTAAGGAATAACGTTTAGTGAGAAAATTAAGTCCTTACATTGGCAATTTTAGTACATGATTCTGTGTCATGAGTGATATTAACTTTGCTAGGATTTAAAATGTTTGTTTGTTGGTTTTTAAAGATTTATTTATTTATTTATACGAGCACTGGGTACAGTCAGATATGCGGGAGGGTGAGAGAATGCACCAGAGCCAGAGCAGAAAACAGAAAAGGCAGACTGACGAAGTACACTGCTGAGGGGAGCAGCGGGCAGCAGGAGAGGTCTGTGCACCATGTGGGACCCTCACCCCGCAGCCGGGGATCGAACCGGTGTTGCAGAGGCTGTGGGCAGCTTCACAACCCAGTGCTCAACCGCTGCGCCACCGGGGAGGCCCTAGAATTTAAAATGTTACATTATTCTGGGCCTCCCCGGTGGCGCAGCGGTTGAGCGCTGGGTTGTGAAGCTGCCCGCAGCCTCTGCAGTGCCGGTTCCATCCCCGGCTGCTCCCCGGCCATCGGAGGAGGATCCCGCATGGCGCGCAGACCTCTCCTGCCGCCCGCTGCTCCCCTCAGCAGTGTACTTCGGTCCTTCTGCCTGCTCTGCTCCCCGCTCTGGCTCTGGTGAATTCTCTCACCCTCCCGTGCTTCTGACTGTACCCGGTGCTTGTATGTATGTATGTATAAATAAATAAATAAAGATGGAATTTCAAAATACTTAAAAAATAAAAAAATAAAATGTTACATTATTCTAACATAACCCAGTATTCTTCACTGGTATTTACCAATATTTGAATATGCACTACAGGCTACAGTGCTTTATGAATGCTCCTAAATTAATATTTTATTTGTATTTATAATCACTTGTTTGGATATCCACAAAGACTATGAATACTATTGATAATATTTTAAGGATCATATGTGATTTGCAAAATTTGCAGGAATTCCAATTTCTCATTGATAAATCCCAAAGATTAATATCTGCTAGGAATTTGGGAATTTGTAAACACTACAACTTTCCTTTGCACTAAAAGACACTGTAGTACCAATTGTGGGTGAGTGTTTTAAAATTCAAATGTACATTCTCTTCTTTCAAGTGAAAACTTCTTGACTGATGAGAACAATGAACTTTGGGAAGAATTAAGTGGCATGTGTATGGGAAAGGGGAAGACGGGGTAGTGTTGATAGAGCATTGGCACTGGACCAAGGGGAAAACAAATACACAATTGTGAGGACTGTTAGGGAAAGGTCTACACTGGTGCAGTCACTACAGAAGAACTGTAGGCAAGAAAATATCCATACTTTTGTACTCACCAAACCAAGAGAAAAATGTATCAGTCATTATCTCACTAGCTCTTCATTTTATCAGCTTTTCTTTTTCTATCATTTCTACAACAGAAAAACCTCTAGTTCAAACCTTATTAGAATGATCTAATAAGAATCTAAAAGATTCCCTTTATTTGTTAAGAAAAGAAGTAGCCATAACTGTAGTAGAGAAATATCTATTCATTATTTGGTGGTGTTCCTTCTCTGCTGAATTTGTAATTAACTCAATTAAAATCTTAATGAAAATGAGATGCAGAATAGGTACAAAGGCATTTAATATTAAATATATTAGTACAGAAAGATTTGGTGAGTTGTATTTTTTCTCAAATATTGATAATAATCTGTGTTTCTCTTGTCACCTTGTCCTTTGAGAATGAGCGTTAAGTACTACAATTAGTGGCAATAAACAATATTAAATATTTGCTTAGTCTAATTGCTTTACCCTCCTTTTACTATTCATATTTTCATAGTTCTGTTTCAAATTTTATCATATTTCTGCTTTATGGGAAGCCATCTCAGTAGAGTAATAAGAAGCAGAACAGAACACACATTTATTAAAAACATACAATGTTCCATAAAGTTTCCATACTTAGTACTCACAATAATCCTGCGAGGTTTGTATTATTATTCCCATTTTGTGACTAAGGAAACAGACTCAGATGGGTTCAATGAATTTGCAATATACATTAAATGTAATTACCTGTGAATCCAGAACTGAAATATAAACTTAATTTTTCCTTACTACAAAGTCTATATTCTTTTGACTGGACCATAGCACACTTTCCTTTCCATAGGAACTGCAGTAACTACCAGAGAATCAATGAAGGTGTTTTACTTGGCTGTGATTATGGCATTACTAGAGCAGATAACAATCTTAACAATCTCTCTCTCTCTCTCTCTCTCTCTCTCTCACACACACACACACACACACACACGCACGCACACTCACATATGCACACACCTAAACTCCAAAAAATGCATGAGCAAAGATAAGGTACAGGACAAACAAAATATTTACATAATGGTCCTTAGCCCCTGTTTGCCTTCAATTACAATACTATTTTTATTCACTCAAATCAACCTAAGAGAGTCGCATGGGTACAAATTAGGGCCAAGGGACCACACAAAATAAAAAAGAGGGTGAAGGTTCTCCCCATTTGTACCTTCTGAAATCAGAGCTGAAGGACTAGGATATGAGGTATAATCAGAGGTTTCCCCCAAATTTTGAACAAAGAGAAGACTGGAATCTTTTTATATTTTCTCTACAATGCTATGGATCTACTGCAAAAGTACAAAAGTTGGAAAATGTAACCTTCCACCGCTACACTGCCAAAATTGAATGGGATGATTAAAATCTGTGAGGGAGGAATAAAAGGATGAATATGCAAAATTAAGCCTTTAATAAATATATCTGAAATACAGTAAGTGGGTATGGAAGTGTCTCCAGATTCTATTATGTTCTCTTCTAGGGATACAAAAGGAAAGCACATTCACTTAACTTCAATTATCCTTCACATTACTGGAAAGATACTTACTGTAAGGTAGATATCAGGAAAACTTGCTAACTATGATAATGACATAATCTAAGCAAATGCTATTAAACCAAATGAAACATTATAAACTATTGTAATTAGAGAAGCACAATTTAAATAATCCATAAAAGTTTTTTAAAACACTAAAACTATTCTTATAGGATTTACAGCTCCATTCACTCCTTTTCCCTCCTAGTTGGTAAATTCATTTGGCTACTTATGTATTTATTAAAGTGCTTTAATCAAAGGAAATGCTCCATCGTCACATTTCATTAAAGGTAGTCTGGAACTGAGCATAATAAAAGGAGGTCTTGATTGTGTCGCTGAGCTCCCCAATGACCAGACACTCACTGAAATGAAATGACTCCATCACTGATTAAATAGATTTTTATAATTAGATAAACTTTACTTAAAACTAGTAAAATTGACTGGCACAATATATTCTTCTTATTCAGCATTAGCAAGTCCCTATTTGCATTCTGGATTTCTCATGCAAGTATTTTTAAACATTTTTTAAAACTTGTGATTAGTTTTTCCATATCCAAATCAATTACACATTTTTAAAGTACTATATGAGGCAGGCTCAATTAATCATTTTTATTGGCTCCTCTGAAAAGTAGGTCAAGACTATGCTTCATTTACAAATGGAGAGGAGGGCATACTAAATTTAAGTGAATTGATCAAAGTCCAACATAAGAATAATTTATGAATGGATATTTTCAAATTCCAGGATGCTATTAAATAGTTTGAAAAGAAAACATTGTGTGAAATGAAGTTATTTTGTCAGTCCTTTAATGAATATGGCTACCATAACGTCTTAGAACTAAGAAGTTGAAGATGCCCAATAGTTACAAAATATGAGGAACTAAAGGATTAATATTCAAATAAACAGTTAGTAACACAAAGACTAGAACTAACATACAGTTACCAACTGCGGCTCTGATTTGCTTCCCAAGCCACATAGTTACATTGTCTCTATATGTATTATTCATTAAGGAGATTTGTAAGTCAACTTACATAGCACTTCACCTATAACTTACATAGCTCTATCAGCACTGTCATCTGTGGTGCAAACAACTTTTTAAATTATTCTTATTGTCAGGAATAATTAACAAAATAGTGTATAGTAAAGATCTCATAGAAGAGGTGAAAGTTGTGGCTCACCCATTAGATATGGACTCCATATTTCAGTCTGTTCCATTACACATCTCAGTGAAGTTTAGTTGATGATATCCTGTAAGGAAAACACCTTCTTAATTGATCCATCTCCCAAACCAACCCCAATTCTTCTGTTAGCAATTACAGCCGACAGAAAGCTGTGTAAATTATTAACAAGGAATGTTGAATGACTCTAATCCAGATACTGGTCAGTAATTCTTTAGTGCAGATTTAAAAAAGCACAGAAGTTGGAAACACAAGAAAAAGAATAAAGGTCACATAAGAAAAAGCCACTGAATGTTTTCTAAACATTTGTCCCACAAACGTTTGTTGTCTATTTTGTACTAAGCACAAACTAGGTGTGAGTGAAACCATGGAGAAATTTAACAGGCAGATCCTCTGTTTTGATGGGGCTTACCATTCAAATAGGAGAGAAATATTCTTTAATTGCATTTAATTAGTTGTTTATACTAAGAATGGAGAAAAAATAATTTTTTGGCTGATCTTCAGATGCTCAAGCTATGAATCCAGTCAGCATGACCTCAGGGAAGTAAAGTGACTTCTATATCCTCACAGTAAAATGGGAGAAATAAGCACACCTGTCCTACAGGGTTACTGTTAAGATTAAATGAGTTATTCAACATAAAACACAATGGAGAACACTGTGTGACATACAGTAGGATGCAATAATTGCTAGAAATCTATCATAATAGTTACGATTCTTATTATAATTTTTCTGAATTGTATCTTAAATGGTTAAAGCAAAATTTATAAGAGACAATGACAACCTCAATGTTGCACAGTCCTAGTAAGTAAAGTATTTGTTCATTAGCAGGACCCTGTATGAGGGGTCTTAGCATGTAAGGCTAAGTTTTACCAAGCATAAAACTGAACGAGTATCTTCTGAATAACTGGTGACACATAACAGCCCAGGGTTGTTTGGCTAGGGGACCAAGAAGTACTTTCAGGACAAAAAGTAACTTCTTGTAAGAAAAGAAAGAGGTAGGCCCACAGATTTGGTGTACGACTCCTGGGCCAGGGTGGGATGGTTAGGTGATGCTGACCATTGCAATTATCTCATTCAAATTATACTTCGGCTCATTCCTCAGGCTTTCTCCAAAAAATAAAAAGGAAATTTTCTTCCTTGTCGCCTCATCTGCAATTTGCTCTCCAGGAAGACGTCCAAGATGCCAGCAATATCAGTGTCAACAAATCCCCCCAAGACAGGGTGGGCACTGTGGACACTAGGTGGGTCCTCACAGGCTTGACCAGTCAGAAGTTGCTTTGTTTCTAGAGCTGATAGGAACTCCTCCAGAACAAGCTAGAGCTGAACAGGGTACCCCATAGGGTGACCTGGGGCATTGCTTCCCAGAGATCACATGAAATATCCTTAGGAACTCAAAACTCTTGGGTGAAGAACATGAGCATTTCTAGACTCCCTGCCAAGCAGGCTAATGCCTTGTCCACAAAAACAGTGATTTCTCTCTGTTATCTTAATGCTATTGTTGATTTTTGTGTGGTTTGGGATATTCTAATTCTACTCTTTATAAATTTTTAATGGATAAGCATTTTCAAAACATATTATTAAAGTATTTCGATTCTTACCTATAGTTTGAAAGCAGCAATATTTCTATTACTTGTATTCAAATGAGAACCAACTTCCTTTCCTGAAAATTAAAAAAGTACTTTCTGTCATTTTTATATAGAATAAGTCTTAGTGTCATGAAGAAACGCCCCTCCCCACATGGCTGTGGCAAACTAAAAATACTACTTTTAATTTGGGTTGTGGTTTAGTAACTAAAAGTACAAAAGATATTGCTTTCTAATACTTGTCTCCGGTAATATAAATTAATCAAGGAAATAGACTCCACCTTTGAACAAGCTTCTATGGTAGAGAAAAGTTTGAAAGTTAAAATTAAATACTATCAGTTCAATGCCAAACTTTTGATCTCCTGCTAAATGAATGACTTTCAAGTTAGTGAAATTTTAACAAACACACTGAAACATGGTTCCCACTAAGTCCTTCAAAGACATTCACATATTTGAGAACTAACTGCTTATTCCCATGAGAGTTGTTGATACTCAACCCTTGGTTAGAATTCATCTTGGATTTTTTTTTTTTTCAGAGCCAGTTTACAAACCATACAAAACAACAGACCCATTAAAATAAATTACACTGTGCCATCATGATCCTCAATTTAAGTATCATGTTTAGTCCAGACCCCTGCCCTCTCCAGAAGCATGGATCCATCTAAACAATAATAACTTTGGTTGAAGTTTTTTAGGAGGAAATTCCCTGAGGATTTGCTTAATGAGATTTGCAATAATGTCTTAAGCAACAATAAAACATGTATAGTATGTTTATAATTTCCTGGTAAGTTTTAACAGGCAAGATTCTCATTTGTACAAGTTTTAAAATTATGCATTCCAGCATAACTGTAATTTTTTATATTTCTGTCTGAAATGTGTTTCAGCAAGGCTGAAACAAGAAATTATATTTTGGCACTGGTCATTTTGAAAATTAAGACCAAACAATTTTAAAAATAGGCAATTACCTTATACTAGCCTCTTGTAAAATCTTTTTGTTATGATTTTGATTGGATATTTGATATTGGATATTTTCTATTGGATATTTGATTTTGATTGGATATTTGATTTGGATATTTTCAAAACAGTGGCATTCCACTAGCTTTCCTGACTTGAGACGTGGTATGCTGAATCTTGCTAGTGAATCATATATACATGGTGGTCTGTGTATAAGTAAAATCTGCATTATTTCCTGAGAAGTTCAAGTTAGTTTTAAGTTTAAAGTTTTTATTTACTTCTAAAAATATGACAAAATGAACTCAAGTAGAATAAAAATCAAGCTGACTGTGGAAGTTGTATTTTCCCAAAATATTGTATGAATTTCTCAATCACTCTAACAGGAAAGTGATTTCTTCACTAGGAACATATGCACCCGTTTATATCAGTCAGGAAGTTCAGGAAACAATATTTGCAATGTAAGGAACATTTTCTTTTCAAAAAGTCAAGTTTTTAAATTTACCATTTGTTTACAGAGCTATATAACTTCAGAGTACAGCTTCACACTTCCATATGTGCACATGCCTCCCTCACCCACCACCAAAAGGCACATTTGCTTAGAAAGGGACCCATTCACAAAGGACATGGACAGATATTTTCCCTTAGATGCCATACAAATGGCCAATAGGTATATGAAATCCTTGTGCACTCTTGGGAATGTAAATAGGTGCAATGCCTGTGAAAAAAAAATAGGAAGCATCCTCAAATAAATAAATGAAAGAAAAAAAGGAAGAAAGATTGAATGAATGAATGAATGAATCTACCATATGATCTAGCAACTCCACATCTGGTTTATATATCCGAAGAAAAAGATCTCTAAGAGATATCTGTACCCCCATATTCATTACAGCATTATTCACAATAACCAAGACATAGAAACATCCTAAGTGTTTCCTAAAGGATGAATGGATAAAGAAAATTATGTGTGTGTATGTATATATATGAACATGAATATTATTTGGTCATAAAGGAAATCTTGACATTTATGACCGCATGAATAAACCTAAAATACATGATGTCAAATAAATTAAGTCAGAAAAAACAAATATTGTATGATCTCACTATATATGGAATCTAAAAAGAAACAAATGGACCTGAACTTAAGGAAACTGAGAGCAGATTGATGGAAAATGAGAGTTACCAAGGGTGGGGGTGGGGGGAGGGAGGTAAAGGTGGTCAAGGGAGCAAACTTGCCGTGATCAGAATGGTAAGCTCTGGGATCTAAAGTACAGCATGGTGACTGCAGTTAACAATACTGTGCTTGAAGCCTGGTAAGAGGGTACATCTTAAAAGTTCTCATCACATGCACGCACGCGCAAACACACACACACACATACACACACACAAACAAAAATGGTATGTAAGCTGATAGATGTGTTAACTATATTGTGGTAATCATTTGCAGCATGAATATCAAATCTTTATGTTGTATACAAATATACACAAAGTTATATGTCAATCATACTTCAATAAAGCTGAAAAAGAAAATACAAAAGGGGTCCATTCATACCTATTGAGGAGAAATAATAACTTGGGCATCTGGGAAGCCCTTAGATCAAACTGTTTGAGCTAGAGGGTCTGATATGTAACAGCTTTATCACAAATACCAAACTCACCACCATTTGCCCATGAAAGTCAGTACATTCCGGCTGAACACATGAAAGCAGAGAATGGTCACATCAGGGCTAAGCCACTATCGACATACGGAAGATGTATGAATGCAGCCTCCTGATGATGAAGAAGGAAGTAGGAGCTGGAAGACTACCAAAAGCAAACAGCTCTCCTTCTCTCTGCAGGAATATATGCATAATAAATCATTCTTGAGATGGTGATTAATGTTTTATATTTTTCTACTTCGTCCAATAAAATTAAATTAACGTACATCTAGTTACTTAAGAGGCTGAGTTCTTATTGCCTTCTCAAAGGCTAGTTTACTATTTATGATGGTGGTTAGCTTTTGTGCTTTTTACATCTCTTTAATGGCCTTGATAATGGTGAAGACATTAGAAGTGATTGTTTTTCTCCATTTGTGGGCTTTATCTTAGACTCCCTGGGGTATGGTGAAGGTGGTGCTCTGACAAACAGACCCATACCTGTGCTCTCCACTTTGTTCTCTTCCAAAGGCTACTAGGAGCATGGCCCCTACTGCTTGTAACACAGCAGCCTCATGTGGGCTGACATGTTGACCTGGAGAGAAACTTTTATGAGAACTAGTATGAAGTGTAGTTGGCTATTCTGCTTCATACCTTTATATAGTTTCACATGCAGTCATTTCACTGACTTGATATTGGTGATGAATCATAAATCACTTCCATTGAATATTTAACCAGGATTGGATCTAATAAGAAATGTGATGTGCAGACGTCCTCAATGTTAATAAGTTGTTATATGAGTCTTGTTCCTTGGCTCTGTGTTCAGAGTATTTGAGGTGCAAATGATGCAAAATTGTGGGAGTCAGGC